ACATATCGTGATGCAAAAATGTTATTTTAAATAAAGTTATATTTATGTGTATTTTTAAAATCATCATCATCAATTAACAAGAGTATAATTATTAATCTGATAGCCAGTGTCTAGTTATATTATGTTTAGAATAGATTAATATTTAAATAAAGCAAAAGGTTTGTTTAAATTAAGTCAGCATTTGGCAACTACATCTCGCCTGGTGATATACATCAGTTATTGAGTTATATAATAAATAAATAACTATGTACATACATATTTGTAATTAAAACCATCCGATCTCTACAAGATATCTATTTCTTAATTTAAGTACTGTCTTTTCACATAAGAAGGTGCGATGACGTTTTATATTCGGCATGATTAAGAATATCAATTAAATAATAGTAATCACAAAATAAAAAATAGAATATAATAAATATTTAGCTATAGTTAAGTTGTTAACACACAAAGTACAAGCATATGTCCTCTTGTATTTTTCCACCACTATCATCTAATCACTGAGAGTGGCATTGCAATCAATTTTAAAACATAAATATAAATAACGGACCCCGCAAACTTTAGTTTTACCTTGTAATTTTTCTGCGCATCTTTATACATTTTTTCTTACATAAACTTACTTCTTCTTCAAGCGATAACAAACGCAACAAAAAAGGAGTTAGCGAAATGTTAATCGGTTTAGATAGATATAAAAATGTATAAATAAGATACATAACTTTAATGGTTACAGTTGAATTAAAATTTTAATATCTTAGGTACAGTTACCATTTCGATAATTAAAGCTGTGTAAAATTAATGACATCTAGCGCCATCGTACTCTTCCTAAATGAAAAAGATAATAAACAGTAGATTCGGGCAATGCTTGTTACCGATTGTAGATATATAAACGAATAGATATACTGATGCGTATATCACTTACCCTATGACACGCTAATGATAAAATAAAATGGTTCATAAAATACAATACTACAATTTTTAGATAAACGATAGATAAATAAATCAAAGTCATGGCGACAGACCGACAAAATTGTATTTATCAAATTGCACAATTTCATAATACTTTATAACAATAACATATCCAGCAAATGCACTTAAAATGAGTATAAGAAGGGCGTACTCATCCATTGTAATAAATGCAATCAAGGCTAATCTCTTATGCTCAATAAATGGAAGTTTATTATTATATATACAACACTAAATAACTAATAAATAAATACTTAAATATTTTATATAATAATTATTGCTGACGATTTCACATTAAGCCACATTCAAATTCAAATATGGCATACCATGAGGCTCATTAATGCCAGTTAATATTACAGATTAATATTTTACCTAAAGATAAATTCACATAAGGCGCGAAGCAACAACTTTGATGAGTCTTAGGTTTTGTACTCAATTGAGGGCGCTAATAAGATGTAAGACCATGGTCGTCCATGAATCCAATAATAGATGACTGACTAATGGTTTGAAATTACAATTCAGTCTCATTATTCAAGAACCCAGACTAGTGTCTGTCTAGTCTAGTGACTAGCACATCCAGTGAACTCTATTAACCTTTAATTAATTCTTCGTTTTAGTGTTCACTGGTTGACGCCATTGACGAGTAAGGTCTCATCGAATGACTCTGGGCGTTATAACGTAGTAATGAAGAAATTGGATTATGTCAAAAGACTGATAATGATGAACAGATCTTATTCTACACCAACGCCTATAGAAGGGAATGTAGGTATTCTGTGCATTAACCTACCCAGTTTGTCAGGACAATGTTGTCTCTCAAATATGTTTTACTTTAGGCATGTTATTTAACAATAAGAGTAAACATTATGTATAATCATATGTGAATACACTTGCATATAGATAAACAGCTTAAATATAGCAGAATAAATAATTTCTAGATACAATTTATACCTCCACAATGCACATGTAAAAATCATAATAATAACTGATAAGTTCTTCTTTATAGTTTATTTGTACTTATTAGAAATGGTTATTTGTATTGGCAAAGAATATTTCCTTGCCATTAATTACAACAGAGACCTATATTTCACTATTTATTACAAAACCCAGAATTGTGAAACCCTGGATTTATAACAACACACTGTTAAAAACAACCATAATCAGATCTTTAAAGAGATACAAAGTTTAAGCAAAAATATATCATAGTATCGAGTACATAAAGTTTAAACTACGTCACAGAACAATTAAATTGTGCTTAATAATAATAATTAAGAATATAACATATGTGATGTGCAGCTTAAAATAAAATATTACGACTAATAAATAATTTTAAGTTAAAATATAGATAAACAGCTAATACTACAATATAAAAGCCTATAAACCAGACACCAAGAATTAGTTATGTCTGAATACTCAAACCAAAATTGAGTATTCTTTCTGTATTCGGGCGTTAATAAATTGATTTTTCATTTAAAGAAAGTAAAAATAATATTTATATTGATTTGAACTGAAGCAATTAATGGATGTGCATGTAAAATTATGTCTTTTTGTGAACGCCGTCACGACGATCATTGAAAAAAATCCTAAACAAGGTATTAAATTACTTTAACAACAAATTACGAAGACATCAACCTGGCGTCTGGATTTTGATAATTTAATAAGTTATAATAATATTCAACAACAATATATTACTTATATTTCATACAAACAAAAAAGTGCGTTCATTACGCAAGTGTAATTAAATATAGGTACAGTACAGAGATTCACAAGACAGTTAAGTATTTAATACTTTTATAACATCACAATATAACTATCCAACTAGAACACTGAGATATGTTAGCAAGCAACTTTTGTTGCGGCAACATCAGGAAATAAGCGTAAGCGAATAATTATACAAATTAAGAAAACTTGAATGTACAAGGTTCTAAAGTAATTCGAGGATTGAATGAATGGAAAAATCGACCAAGATAATACAATAGGCATGGCGACTATTTTTTAATATATGTCCGTCTTTTAGATATTTTAAAAATCTTCGATACGTATTTTTTCTTTTTTCTCGTATCCAAAAAAACATGTAGATATTTTGAGTTAAAATGACGCGTGACGTCACAATTAGGTACGATTTCTCCGTAAGTGTGACGTCAACACCCCCCACTCCCTAACTTTAATGCGGAATAACTACGTATTCTTCTGTTAATTTGATAAAACAAAAAATACGTGTCTGATATTATAGTGCGATCTTAATGACGGACTAATTACTTTTTTGATTTTTTTACCCTGTCGACACGCCTATTACAAGCAAGGTACTTTAAAATTTAACTTTGGAGTATTTTGTTAGAAAGGAATAATTATCTCTGAAATACTTATTTTTCATTTCGATAATTATCGATATTTACGCAAACATTTATAAAAGATATGAAATACATTTGAGCTAACTGGACAATATAAATTATATCTTAATACCAGCTTTCTTTGACTTTGACTTTAAAGAAATCTATTTGTGGCACAACCAGGGTTCAAGGTTCAACAAATCTGCCCCTGGTCTGAAATGCCTGGTCTTTCCCTACGGACACAACATCTATTATTGAGAAAATACTGAAACATTCAATTACAGATCCACTAGTTAAACATAGATACAACGAAACGAATACATTTAGTGCAAATAAAGTATAATTAGGTACATTGTACTTGGGATAGTATTGATTTTTAATTTCTGACATAATCAATGACACCACGACAGTTTGATCGAAATAACATGTTATTATATAAACTAAATATAATACGACACTCATTTGGAACATTTTTGAGTAGTTGCACCGAGTTGAAAACAGTTAAACAATATATTATCTAAATTTATGTATACATTTTAGGGTACAGAAGACTTTTCATCTACAAACTAAATAATAGGGGAATGCATTATAAGGAATATATTACTGGAATAAATGTTTTAGTAAGAAAGATGACGTTTTAATTGAATGATAATTGTTTGAAAACGAGATCGAAGTAGGTACATTACACTCAGTCTTCGAGGTAAAGGAATGATCAAATGAAGATTACAACTATTTTGGGTATAAGGTTCGCAGTTAGCACAATCGCACAGTTAAAACGATAATACAGGATTATGACACCCACGTCTATTATGACGATTTCAACGATATATTTAACGATCATTAAAGATGTATTTGCTTAAAATTTTTTTGAATGAAATACTTGGAATATACTCTGTGACGGATTAGCCACGCAGAAAAGCAGAAAATGCTAAGACCTTTTTTATGTAAACTGAATAGGTCAGTAGCCTATAGTAGATAATAAAATAATGTATCAAAATAAAAACAATTTCTCTAATTCATTTTAAATTCAATTTTCTATCTTTTTTTAAGTCTGTTAACATACGGAAACTTGATACTAAGTGTGACAACGTGTGTAAGTGTACAACCCGTGAAACAAAGACTTTTCTGAAAATCACATCAACATCGGTTCAGCCAATCGCAAGATAAACGTGGACATACATATAGGTCACACATAACCTCATTCTTTTTTTAAAGACAAACGACGTTCGGCCAATAACCATTTTTAGCTAAAACCAAGCACAAAAAATAAAAGATTTGTCTTTTGTTTTATATTTTAATTAATAATCCCTAAGACAAACCAAAGGTTTTGATAGAAATTGTTTCAGGCCTGCGATGAACTAACCCGACACTGAATATACCATTTTGTGGACAGACAACCATTATAAGAGTAAATGTTTGAAATACCAAGAGACTTTGGGAAAAAATGTAGATTATACATCCTAGAGAATAGACAAAGCACAATTATGGAGTACATACATACATCTATCTTACTTAATTTAATAAAATTGCATGTATGGTAAAGTGGACTAGGAAGTGGAATACAAAATGGTGGAAGAATAATTAAGAAGTAAATTTTTCATTGAACCATATCAGAGTGCCAAGCAACTATCGCATTCGTAACGTAATAGTATCCAGCGCGTTCGGCGCTCTGATTGGCCGGCTCAAGTGAACCAACCAATCAGAAAGCTTAACTCGCTCGATACTGTTACGATACGAATGCGATAGTTATTCGTGCTTGGCCCTCTGTTAAGATTATATTTGAAGCGGTATTTATTTTGGAAAATAGATTTTAGTGACACATTAAGAAGGACAGTAACAGGTAGACATTTTCATAAAATCTCAATAAATGCATAATGAAGAATTCGCAATAAATAGAACTTGCATAAATGCGTAGGTTATTTTTATTATTTAACACTGAATAAATGTGTCATATTTGTATCAAAATTGCTTATACAACATTTGCTGTCGCTCTAAGACAGGTACGATAAGCTAATATGAGGCTAAAACAAGTTATTTTGTCATAAATTGTTTGAATACTTATTGTTTATTTATTTTATTGTCATTGGTGTAAAATAGACAGTAAATGAGAACAAAAATTGTGAATAAGCTCAAACAATAAGTTTTTAGATTATTTAAAGCCCAATTTCACTATTTTTTGTACTTTTAGGATTAACGAACTATATGTGGAACAATCATATTATTGCACTGTGTGACATATAGTAGTCTGTGTTATGAGGTAGGATAGGTCCAAATGTAAGAATTTTCTTAAATCATAAACATTTATGTAGGCAAGCTGTTTCTTCATTCTTATTAATAGATTTCCTTGAGATTCCTGTTTGTTTGTTTGCCTTATAATAAAATAATTCCATTGTAGTGAAATGGGCCAAAGGTAAATAAAGTAAATAACTCAATTATATTAACTCAGAGCTTAGCAACACGTCCACCGTCCGCATTAAAAAAAATTACTGTTCTCTACTAACTAAAATATGTATCTACGTTTCAATTCTCAGAACTTTATCATCAACGGAACTTTACATTCACAAGTACCTATTTAATCCAAGTATAACAAATCTAGACGGTTTCATCTAGAAAGCCCCGAAGAACTCCTATTTTGTCAAAATGGCGGACGGTAAGGTGTGTCAAACTCAATAAACTTAGATCTGAATACATTTAAGGTTTCCTTACTAGCAAGCAACACGAACTCAAACCAGCCTGCATCTTCGCAAACTCCGAAAAACAGATAGATCTTCTAGCGAAGTCGATTCTTTCACAGAACACCTGAAACATACGACCTTGACGTCAATGATATGCCATACATTTGTTGCTGTTGTACTAACAAAGGTCAAGAACGGTTATGCTAAGATGGTTTGGACACATTGAGAGAATGGTCGAAAGTAGTATTAGAGACATGCTGGGTTACCCATTTCAAGCCTGTCAATAAAATACGCGGTGACCAATATTCTATCTTCTTATAGGTATTGTTTTAAGGGAGTTACCACTTTAGGGGTTCACTAATGCGGTGGAAAGTAAATAATATTTAAAATGTTAAATCAATACATAGTATAAAACAAAGTCGCTTTCGCTGTATGTCCGTATGTATGCTTAGATCTTTAAAACTACGCAACGGATTTTGATGCGGTTTTTTTTAATAGATAGAGTGATTCTTAAGGAAGGTTTGTATGTATAATACATGCATATTGCACCCGTGCGAAGCCGGGGCGGGTCGCTAGTAAAATATAAAATGAAGACATTTTTGCATTGGAAAAATTATGACTTATGAAAACAGTATTGAGAGATTCTACTAGAAGAATAAAATACTAAAGAAAAGAGGTGAGCTAACTAATACTAAAAAGTATGAATATGAGGAAGGTACAGAAAAATGAAATAAACAATGGTAACGTAGGTGAGCAGCCTACAGTTTAACCCCTCGAGCGTCCTTATGAGCACCCGGTGGATCATAAGAAAAAATGCTCCATGCTGCTTTCTCTTTTATAAAATCTATTATTAATGTTTTGTTTTTATTTTGACTGTATTTGTTTTATTTCTATGGTAATGATCCTTGTTTTCGTGTGCCAATGGCCAAATAAATGCATTTTCTTGCATGCATAAGGATAAGGAAATGCATAAGGAACGCGGACGCTCGACGGGTTAACAGTACGTTAGCAATTGGGAAAACATTTAATTTATTTTAAATGTGATCTGTTTAAGTATAAAGGCAGATTAAAAAATACATTATGGTTTTCTCCTACGTATGAGTGTGTTTAAAACACAGTATCCAAATACATAAACACACGCAAATACAAAAACGCAATTATGGGTACACACAAAGGCCCTTTTCACACGCTCCGATTGCCAGATAGTCGAAGCGTATAAAAAGGTCTAAATAAGTAATTCTTTGGGCCTTGGGCAGTATTAAGTTGTACAGCAACCATACACCCACGCGCCATAGCGTCAACCGCGTTGTCATTATTTACCGTTATCAAATTAAAATTGCGGAAAAAAATGTACCTTGAATGCTTCAGGGATTTCCTCAATAGCCCTGTGTATTAAAGTACCATTAACATAAACGCAGTTGGCAGCTTCGTCTTCTGGAACCGTCAAAGTTTGATAGGTAAAGTTAGCTTCACGTTCGATCCTCTTAAGCAATTCTTTGGCTTCCTTGCTAGCACTAACACATAGGACATCAGGGCCCGCCATCGTAATATACTTCTTTAATTCTTTACAACCTTTGGATATCTGAAATTTTAACAATTATATCATAGATTAAACTTAAGAGTTAAGCCTCATATAGACAAGTTTCTTGCCTGTTTGTTTGTGTGCTGACTTGGATAGTCTAACTAAACAATACGCAACATTCTTGATCTTTTTATTAATACTTCTTATTATAGCTATAGGTGAATTTTACTTTTAATTTGCAGTATATTATACACGCCAAGGGGTCCGGGTTAATTCGATGAGCAAATACAAAATGGCAAGGGCAGGTATTTTGTAAATTATTAGTGTGATTACTCAAAACAAACTATAAACGACAACTCAGTGGTATGATTCAAGGGTATCGTTTACAATTATTAAATAATGCTGATCGTTCAATAATGCGTTGGGTGGATAATATCGCCAGAATCACTGGAAGTAGATGGCTGAGAGATAGGTACAATAAACTGAGAAGTACGGCAGAAACAAGAGGCAGGCCAGTGCCTAGAAGTGGATGAACGGAATAAAACACAGAAAATCGCAATCAGAGAATTATCCGACAAAATTAGACACATTAGGTATCATCCGACAGGCCTACGACATAAGTTTTTGTGACTACCTAATAATTTTAAGAACAAACTCTGAAAATATTTTATTAATCGTAAATTTTATAACATATACTTATTTGCATAACAAGTCTGGGTCAGTAGCTAGTTTCTCAAATGCGAATGGTAATCACATTATAGCAGTAATAATATACATATTAATAACTAAAATAAATTCCATACTATTTTCCTGCTAGGCTATGTATTTAATGTGAAAATGAATTTTAAGAAACGTGTCCTTATTTTAGTACATAATAATAGGTTCAGAACGAGGTGACGCAGTTCATTAGGTTGTACACGCGCGTCCGACACAAACCGTAATCGAATTGACGCGTTACATAGGTAATAATTATAAAAACAGCTCAGGTATATTCATATACTTTTTGCCTGCAACTTCAGCCTCAAATCTTTGTTTATGAATAAAGAAACACATCACAACTTCTTAAAAATCAATTAAGAATATTTTTCTTTATAGCAAATAAACAGACGTTAACGTTTTTTTTTATAATAACTGTAATTTTGTATGTTAACAACACGCTTATTAGCAAATCCTAATGTATTCAGAAAACTTACCTTTATAGGTGTGCATGGGAATTCAGGAAATGTTTCAGCTACAGCACTTGCTCCAGCTTCATTTGTGTTTTCAGATATACCAACAAAGAACTCTCGGCCTGAAACACATAAATGCAAAATCATGGAACTGCAAACATAACCAAATAAAATAACAGATTGTGTCCATCTAGGTTGCCTATTACTGGTATACAATGGTGAATAGAGCAAACACGCGTAGTGTTTTGATTTTGATTAGCATAAATTGATTAATTCAAACCCTTTATGTTCAGAATACAACATCGTGTTATCTCCGATTACTCCTCAAAGCATCAGGCAGCAATTTATACAGCATTAAGGAGCCAAAGGGAACCACTTAAGCAGTTGCTATTGACACCCCTCAAACAAAGAACCTATAATCAATTGAACAAACTAAAAGTTGATTGTACCTTGATTTGAACAAACTATTTACCTGTGAATAACACATCTGCACATGAAATATTGGCATCGGGATCTACTTGATCAATAACAGTCTGGCCCAATTCGTTTTGCAATATTTCTTTTAAAATTTTTGTCTGAAACAAGAGATAATCACATTTCAAACACTGTTTTCCTTTATTTATTTATTTATTTACACTTTATTGCACACACAGAAAAAAATTGTAAACATGGCAATAGTAATTTGAGTACAATGGGTGGTCTTATCACACGCGGTGATTTTTTTCCAGACAACCTTTGGATGGAATTTTTGCAAAGAATCTGGGAATGGGTGGTTGATGCACAATAAAAGAAAACCAAAATAGAAGAAAAACAATAAAAAACAAATTAAACAATCAATGAAACTTACAGACTACATATAATACATAAAAGATTATTATGTACTCTGGGCAAGAAGTTTAGATTGAGCCAGTTATTCCTGATATTCGTTAAAAGTATGTCCAATTTCAGACAATTTAATTCAATGAATGGGTTCAATATATTGCAATTGCAAAATTACAACTTTGAGATAATTTTCGCCATAGCATGTGCGCAAAGCATCAGACAGTGTTCAAGAGTCATGGAAACTATTTAATGGTAATTCCCTTAATTAAGGGATCAGGTCTGGATGTCAATTTGCAAATGATAATGAGGTCACATTAATTTACTTCAAAGGCTTAATTAGATAATACACGCATTCAATCATTGTATGACATAATATACATGAGTCAAGATTCAAGACACTATTGTAGATCCTCTGGACAAATAAATCAAACAATATAGCAATAGATTAAATTTCCAATAATAATAGTTATATACCTATTTATTAATAAAATAAACACTACAAAAATATTATTAGTAGTGTCAATATGAGTACCAGTATCATTGCTAATAAAATTTTGCAGCAACTGTGTGAAATGGACTTCTATATAGATTTTAATAAAACTGTGTAAACAGACTAATTTTCTCTGGTATCTCTCGTTTCAAATTAAAATCCAGTGTTTATGTCAAAAAGCCCAAAAATTGTAACTATTTGTGTATGTCGCAGTGTAGATATCAACATGGCTAACTGGTTTATTTCAACACTACAGTAGGTAAATCATCTTAATCTAAAATTATTACAGGATAAATGACCTGAAAATAAAACAATTATTATGTCACACCATATTGCATATACCTACTTAATTAACTGTTCTAGAAATAGAAATCTGTCCTCGACGGGAAACAATACTGAAAATTAATAACTTTGATATTTCAATACTCCTAAAATAAAGGATAACCATATATCAGTTTCAAACAATACACTTTCTGTGAAAAACATGTTAATTTTTCAAGCTGGTACAATATATTATGCAAATACAATGATTTGCCAATTGCCAGTGCTATTTATAAGCTAGATTAATAAACATTCTCTGAATAAACATAAGAATATCATTGGTATTCCAAAAATTGCAAGAACAACTCGGCTATAATAATAGTATTGATAGTTATGTAGTGTATCAGCAATAACCATGTTTACATAGGCCATAAAACAAACAGAAGATTACTTACATTGTGAGCTTCAACAGACGAATTGTTCCTTGGCAGAAGGGCAATACCATGGCAAGCAATTGCTAGATTTTCCAGCAAGAGCTTATCACTTAACGAACCTTGCAAGTTAACTTCAACCACTTCTAAATTCAACTCTCTCAACAGTCTCAAATAGCACTCATGTTGACGCCGTACTTCGTCGAATTCAATACCATCTCCAGAGCTGGACCCAGGAGTAGCTTTGCCCACTAGAGCGTGGGTAAACTCGTGCATCTTGAAATCCATTTAAATTAAATATGATTTTGACAATTCGCTTATTGTCGAGTAATGTTATGAGAATCCCAACTGAACTGCACGTTGATGGAGTGTAATTAAATATTATGTCGCTTTGGACGGCAATTTATAGCAGCTAAGTACTCAGGCTACTTTACACAAGTACTTCGTCCAAAACTAACATGATACACAGAAGCGATAATATTATTTAAATCTAAAACCTAATGGTATCAATAAAGACCAAGGCAATGCGTTTTATGTAAAAATAAAAATTAAATTATTTTTCAGTTGATGAGATTCGATTCGATTTTCCTGTCAAGCAAGTGTCAAGTCAACCAAAGAGTTTAGTAAGTATATGGGTGTCAACTCTAGGTATCACCAAAGAGTATCGTATAAAAAATAATAAATATAGGATGTATAGGGGAATGTGTAACCGATACCGATACCGATATTGGCGATAGGCAGTACCGTTCCGTTCTTAGATGTTAGAGAATATTGAAGTTTGACATTTAAAAGAGTCACTTCACACTCTCACTATAATAACTTTCTTATTTGTACTATAACACTAACAATCATCATGATCAACTTCAGGCCAGCCGTAAGCGGGCGTGCAAAGCGTGCACAGCACACGGGTGCACGATCATGGGAGCAGAAATCGAGCGACTCATTACGTACTATTTAGAATCATAGTCCACAGTAATCAGAAATCATAACCAGAAGTCTATCTAGCGTTCTTGTTATCATGGTGCGTGCTCGATCATTTTCGAGAGTTACTCGAAAACTATCAGATGTTCTCTATCTTATTAAAGTAAAGAACTAAATTAAAAATATCGAGTTTCCTCGAGCACTTTCGAGAGTTACTCGAAACCAAAGAGCTTCCTTAATTTCTTTCGAAAGTAACTTGAAAACTATTAGATGTTCTCTATCATTTTTTAGGTCGACGTTTGACGGCATTTCGCCTGGTGGTAAGCGATGATGTGGCCGACGATGGAGCACGCCTACCTATGAGCAACCTGTTCACTCGGGACTTGAAGACACCTAAGTCATATTTGAAAGAAAACAAAGCATAGTTACTCAAAAATATCGAGATTCCATGGTCACTAGAAATTTCTCGATCACTTTCGAGAGTTACTCGAAATCTATCGAGCGTCTTCGATCACTTTATAGAGTTACTTGTAATCTATCGAGTATCTTCTATCATTCTCGAGGTCGAGTTTCCACCTAATAAAAAGCGGAGCGGCAAAATCGGTATTTGCATGCGAGCGCTCGGCTAGCTAGTGGCGGGCCTGATCATCTTCCTCATAGTTTATAATGTTCGGTCTACGGACTAACCAGCTAATACAAAATATTTAATTATAATTTACAAACATTACCATTGCCCTTTCTAAAATGTATTATGCCATAAAGACATTAAGTATATTTCATTTATTAAACTCCTCATAATACAATATTAACAGCCTGTTTTCGTCCACTCCTGGACATAAGCCTCTCCAATGGCACGCCACTGAGCTCGATCTTCAGCTCTAAGTATCCAACCTCTACCAGCCATTGCCACTCCATCTAGCTGGAGGGCGCCCTACTCTACCTTTGCCTAGACGCCATCTCCACTCCAGAACATGTCTACATTAGCGGTCATCGTTTCTTCGACAAACTTTTCCGGCCCACTACCATTTCAGCTTGCTAATCCTTTGGGCTACATCGGTAGCTTTAGTTCTCTGTTAGTTCACCTCGTTACGGTTTCTATCCTTCAGAGATACTCCGAGCATAGCCCTCTCCATAGCTCGCTGCGCCACCTTAAATTGGTAGACCAGTCGCACTGTTAGTGTCCACATCTCGGCTCCGTATGTCATGACTTGTATGACGCACTCGTTGAAGTATTTCGTCTTCAAGCTTTGCGGTAGAGTTAACGAAAAGACCCGATAGAGTTTCCTATATGCCGCCCAGCCAACTAGCCTTCTACAAGCCTCTCGAAATTGTTTCTACCAAACTGTAGGATTTGTCCTAGGTAGACATACTCCTGAACAACCTCGAGAGTGGACCTATTAAGGGTGATCGGCTCTACAAAAATATGTTCATTGAACATTACCTTCGTTTTGTCTGGGTTCATCCGGAGTCCATCCTCCAAAGCATTGGTAAATAATGTGGGACAAATAACATGGCCTAATCTTACCCCTCCGATGCACGTGGACAGGTTCAGATTGCTGGTTCTGGACTTGGACAATCATAGTTGCAGCATCTTATAGATCTTTCAGCACTTGGACATATCGTCAATCGACTTGCAACCGTTGCAAGGACTCCAGAACAGATCAGGTTTCATTAAAGTCAAAGGCTATCTCATAGTCCACAAATGCTAGGCATAAGGGCAGATTATACTCTTCAGTCTTCCTTCTGTATAATCTGCCGCATTGTATGTATGTGGTCTATGGTGCCATATCCTCCTCGGAACCCAGCCTGCTCATAATACAAATAATAAGTAGATATCTTAATCAAAATACTTTTGTATTTGGTATTTACACCTTAAAAAAAAGTAATAATAAATAAATACGCTATAATAAGGCATCAAAAAAAAAATTTCCTCATTATTATCGTGAGGTAGGGTTCCCAAAAGACTGGCAGCATTACAACGTTGAATGGCAATGCTTAACCTTTGTCCAAGGTAGAAGCCAGCCCTTCGAACACCTGAAGTGTCAACCATCCTCCTTACAATATCTTTGTAAAGAAGATGTGCACTTGGGCCACACGGCCCTAAAGTTTCAACCCCAAACGGTTCGAAAGCATAATTGCCAATCAGGCTATCATACTTTCGCCGCTTGAGGTTCTCGGCAGCAGCAGCGGCAGCACCGGCTCGACACGCTGAGTTTGAAAGATGGGATGGCGCCAGAGTATCAACGCAAGTGGCGTCCCATACTAAAGGCCTACTCCAAGGGAATAATGACATACCGTCGGGTCTCTTGCCATCGTTGCGTACCAAGCCATTAGGTTCTAAAGTAGCTGGCATGCCAACGGAGACAAGAGCTCGACGAATTATGTCATTAATACTCGCGTGTCGAGCAAAACGACCCGCACTACGGCTACACGACAAGCCGTGGTGTCCAAGGCTGTTAAATTAGTAAATATTTTAGTTCATAGTTATTTATATTTTAAGTTGTATATATTTTCATTTATTTTGTATTTTGATATTATAGGTACCGATAATACCGAGTCTTTTGGTATCCCCGATACGGTAGTTTTACAACACTAGTCATTGTCATTGTACAATGCTATTTTGTCGGCAGCAAATGTCACTGGTCAAAGTGGTTCAAAGTGTCATTCAATGACGTCTTATAGCTATACGACGTACCTATCGTTGTGTTTACTACTTCCCGGGTTTTTGTGTCATCTCCCTTTTTCCTTCAATATTTTTATTATGTCTGCTTTGCACAAGTCGTAAGACCAACGTAAGACGTACATGGGCATATATAACGTATTTGTATACTGTAAATACATTTAGATAAGAAGATTATAGTTAATACCGCCTCATCTATCAAATAAAACTCGTATTTAGAGATAACAACTGCATTGTAAAGATTAATCCGTACCTAACGAGTATAGTGTGTGATCATAATAATGTCTGAATATGGAAAATTTGGTCCGTTAATTGGTGCCATTGACGAGGGCACCTCAAGTGCGCGGTTTATTATTTTCAAAGCGAATTCTTCAGAAGTTGTAGCATATCATCAGAAAGAGCTTGAGCAAATTTTCCCTCAAGAAGGATGGGTTGAACAAGATCCGAACGCAATTTTAGAAGTGGTTACGACATGCATACAGAAAGCAGTTGAGACTTTGGTGTCGTTGGGAGGTTCAGCTAAGGTTTGTGTTTATTATTTCACTCTAATTTTGGAAGGTACATTACAGCTTATTTATAAAAGTCCGACATGTATTTAATTAATGAAGAACTGCAGCAATGAAATAGTTAATTTAAACATTTTTGCTATTTTTTACCCACTTTTCACTATTTTTATTATGAGTCCCATGTAATAGGGGTGATCTTATTGCCATATACCGGGTACAATTCCGGACTCCATCAATACAATAAAATAGAACTCGAGACCCCTTGCCCGGCAATATCACTTGCGACCACTCGGTCAGTCTCAGTTAGCCTCGGGCAATGATGAATTAATGTTATTGATATGACGTATAGTATAATAAATATGTCTAAGTTGTATGTAGTCATACCTGTTTGCTCATAAATATTTATAACCTTCAGGTTATTTTAGTTAATAATTATAATAGATTATGCAATTTAATTGATACTTACATAAAATATTAAGTATACTTGATTCCAAATTCATACATATAATAGATTACTCAACCTAGAGATAAGATTTAGGTGCATTTAAGTTATACTGGATTTAAGAAATGATTAAAATTAGGATCAAATGTACTTTCATTTATCTATCTATTTATAATAAATATTAGGTACAATACTGACTTCCTTGGTTCACTGATCAGATTGCTTCTGAATTTAACATTTTGCATTCCGACATCAGGTCGAGTGCAATATTACAGTTGGTTTATATTCTTGCCAATTCTAGTGGATACTGTTACTTTATTACTGCTTTCTATTAAACTAAATTAAGTTTTTAATAATAAGCTAAAAATAGCAATACGCTGAAGACAGTGTTCCTACAATTTTCAACCGACTTCGAAAAAAAGGTGGAGGTTCTCAATTAGACTGTATTTTTTTATTGAATGAAAGGCATGCCATTAAATTTGTCTGTTCAATTGAACAGGTATCATGAAAAACATGCTGTTCATGTCTGAATAAAATTTGGTGTAGATTTTGATATAGAACTACATTTTATTTTGTATCCAGGGAAAATGTATGGATCTTTTAAATCATCCTTAGTTATGATGTTTAGGGGCTGACTCGTAACTGTCCAAGTTTTTGAAGATTAATTAGAGGATTTATAGTTGCTATTCAACAACATTCCGTTCAAAGTCGTAGGCACTGCTAGTTATGCAATATGTCGATTTGTGTTGCAGGATATAATTGCTGTTGGTGTAACTAACCAAAGAGAGACAACAATAGTTTGGGACAGAAGCACCGGCAAACCTTTACACAATGCAATTGTCTGGTTGGACATGAGAACCTCTTCTACTATTGACAAGTTGTTAGACACAGTGCCTAATAAGACAAGGAATAAAAATTATTTAAAGGTGAATATTATTCTAATCAATTGCAGAATATTAAAAGCAAAAGAAGAAACCGCTTTTTATCTTATCTCTTTATAGAGATCTTGGCAACAGGCTAGTGCTGAAAATCAGCGCCGCAACTCGAGCAATCGCGCTCGTGACACGGCATTTTAGCTGAGCACTGGCCTTTTTGCACCTTGTACACTGTTGTTTTTTTATTACTATTTTTTTTTCTTGTCCTTTCTGTAATGGTGCAAATAAACTGTTTTTCTTTCTTTCTTCTTCTTTCTTTTTTAATTTTTGAACCACTCTTTCCTCATAAGATGACTAGCATTTTGTCTGAAAATCCAATTTATTTTCCCTAAGCAAGTTGTAGCATATATAATCATGTGTATTATCGTAAGTTATATTCAATGAATGAATATTCTTATTATGATCTTACAGCCTTTGTGTGGACTTCCTTTGTCCCCTTACTTCAGCGCAGTAAAATTAAGATGGCTCAGTGACAATGTTGATGCTATAAAGAATGCTATGAAGAAAGGAACATGTTGTTTTGGAACCGTTGACACATGGATCATTTGGAATTTGACAGGTAAATAGTACATACACAGTTACTTGGTATTTATTATAGAATTTTTTTAAGGGGTGATAATCATCGAATGGCTTCTTCTGCCTGGGTGAGGCGGGAGGGAGTGTCAGACTCTTACTGACTAAAAACCACCGCATTCCTACTCCTGCACTTCGAGCCGGAGCCCCGGTTCTCCGAGGCTCATTTATTATAGAATGGGATATTATTTGTCCCACAAGCTATTGATAAGACTTGTAATATATCAACTTTTAAAATTTTATTTAATTTTAATGTTCTTATAATTATTGTAATTGATATACCTATACATTATACATATTTTCAGGTGGTCCCAATGACGGAAAGCATGTTACTGATGTAACCAATGCATCAAGAACTATGATGATGAATATTGAGAACCTGGACTGGGATCCATTGTTGCTAAAGTTTTTTGAAGTTCCTAAGAGTGTGTTACCAGAAATTAAATCTAGTTCAGAGGTAAGCCTATACTGTCAGTGTAGTGTAAAATATTCTACTACTAGATTCAACATTGAATAATTTACTAAGTAGTTTGTAAGGCTTAATGTTCCATTGATTGTGTGAAACGAAATATTTGAAATCAATATAAATTGTAGTTGACATGAATTGCTAAACAATTGCCCTTTGCTCCTTTCAATCAGTATGAAATGTGACTCATTAGGTCAATTTCAATCAAGAAGTATGTGTCTGTACACTAATTGGTGATAATAGATAGATGCCAATTAACAAATAAATTATTAACTAAATAAATATGAAACCCTTGTAGTACTGTAACTATTTTGATTTTCCTTTTATAAGTCATAAACCGGTAAACAAGCAGACGTATCACTTGATGGTAAGCAATCGGCGCCGCTCATGGACCTCCGAAACAAGTGCGTTACTGGCCTTTTAAGAATTGGGAATGTAAGGATTATGGAGGATTCGGGCATTGTGGAGACTGGGGAGGGGCGATAATTGGGCCTCCGGTAACCTCACTCACACGACGTTTCACGTTGGTTTTCTGTGAGGCCGTGGTATCATTCCGGTTGAGCCGACCCATTCGTGCCGAAGCATGGCTTTCTCACAATTAAACCTATTTTTTATTTAAGATTTGAAACAAAATCTATAGGTAATACTATATTATTATCTTCTTCGTAAAATTATAATCCTAATAAGTTCCTAGGACCGTTGCCAAAGTACCTATGTATAAAATGTTACCTACATTTTCATTACTTAAATAGTAGTGCAATTTCTTATTTAACAAACTTCTATGGAATAAGAAATTGTCAATAACATAAACCCTATAAGTAAACAACTAAAGGATGGAACAAGTAGATGTTTGAATAAAGTTATTTATATAATACTATTGCTTTATTCAGGTTTATGGTCACATAGCTGATGGTCCACTGAAAGGTGTACCTATAGCTGGTTGTCTTGGAGACCAACAGGCCGCCTTAGTTGGCCAAATGTGCTTGCAAAAAGGCCAGGCGAAAGCTACATATGGAACTGGTTGCTTTGTGCTTTACAATACGGGCGATATTCGCGTCAATTCTGGCCGAGGTCTGCTGACTACGGTTGCTTATCAGCTAGGAAGCAAAAGCCAACCACACTATGCCCTTGAAGGATCAGTAAGTAGTATTTTAATTTACATTGTTATGTGTATTTCAAAGCGTTTGTACAAACAAAATGGCTGATTATTTTCATGACCTTTGATAAAATGGATTTATCCTTGCCTTATGTAACAGAATACGTATGAAAACACAAAAAAATTACGCATAATAATGTTTATTGATTGAAGCGGTCTAAAGTTCGCCGGAGTACAAAATGTTAAAAATCTTCATAAAGTCATTATCAGTAAAATCTGTTTAGTATATTTATTGTAATTTATGGATTATGTTGTAGGTAGCTGTTGCTGGAGCTGCACTAGGATGGCTTAGAGATAATATTGGCCTTTTAGAGAGTGCCAAGGACTCTCAGGGTATAGCTGAGAAGGCTACAGAAAATGGTAGTGTTGTATTTGTACCTGCCTTCAGTGGTTTGTATGCACCGTATTGGCGTCAAGATGCTAGAGGGTATGTACTGCATTTAATTCAATTTGTAAATACATACATTACAGTTGTTTATCTTACTAACTTCAGTATGTATTTTTTAAATGTGAGATTAACAATATAATTAGAAAAATGTAGATTGCTTTTGTTTCCCAAAATTCCTTAGTTTTATGCAGCAGTATCTTCTGTGCATTCTTTTCGTAATTTTGTTTTAACTACAATATTTTGCTTAGTTTTAGACAACGATTAATTCATAAATTATTTAATTTTGTAAGTTATCTTGTCACTCAATTAATATTTAAAATTTCCAGTGTTATATGTGGAATATCTGAAGATACGAACTCCAATCACATTGTAAAGGCTGCCCTCGAAGCTGTCTGTTATCAAGTACGGGATATCCTCGATGCTATGAATGAAGACTGCGGTATTCCTCTGCAACTACTTAAGGTATTACTTATACACACACTTTACATTTATAACTTAAAACCTAGTGTTCTATCATCATGTCATGACCCACCGCCATCATGAACCAATGCATTTAGTCATCCACTCAGAAGTTCTGATCGACAACTCACCACTTGCTTCCAATATCTCTTCTTCTTTCGGTTTGCAGTAGCCACTCGACCACTTCAATTATTATAGGGCATAGTATGAGTTTCGGCTCCTATGAACCAACCAATCAAATCTAGACCGATGATGGGCTCGGAGTCGCGGAGAACCTAACGGGTAACCGGGGCTCCGGCTCGACGTGCAGGAGAAGGAACGGGGTGGTTTTTAGACAGTAAGAGTCTGACACTCCCTCCCGCCTCACCCAGGCGGGAGCAGCCATTCGATGATTTTCCCCCCTTAAAAAAAAAAAAAAGACCGATGATGGGCTCGTTTTAATCTCTTTAAACGTAAAACTAACTCGTACTACGTGTCCTCCTCGGCTTATCGGCCGTCAGTACTTCGAGCGATGTGGTCTTAATATTAGTAAACAAACTGTTTATAAATACTTCGGATTAATATGTATTTCTATTTGTTTCCCGTTCACAATGGAGTTAAAAAACATTGACCACTTTTTAACTGGTAATGCAATTGAAACTGGCGGCACAATTTGGTGCAAAATCATTTTGCACAAAGTCTATAACGGCTATTAACAATCATCCTAATGTGTATGCATCTGAAAATATTTGCTCTTGTAACCACTAGAAGGAATACTTTTAGTATGGTGCACTTTTTTTAAACAAAAACAATTAATAAAATTAAGGATTCATCAAATTTTAATTTTACCTTTTTCAGGTGGACGGCGGCATGACTTCTAATGCTCTAGTCATGCAAATGCAAGCTGATTTGATCGGAATCAACGTAATAAAGGCTGGATTTACTGAGAGCACCGCTTTAGGGGCAGCGCTTTGTGCCTATTGGGGAGTGGAGCCTTCTAAGCAAGGGTCTCCTATACCAATGACCAGTGGAACTACATACACCTCTCTTATAACCGACGACGAACGAGATATGCGATACAAACAGTGGAAAATGGCTGTCGACCGATCCCTAGGATGGGAACAAAACTAAGTACCTAACGAATCGAAATTCTAATACTAATAATGCCTTACACACATTAATCAAAGCAATAACATTTCATATACAACTGTTACATATTTATATACAATTATTTTTTTAAAATGTGCAATACAGAGACTGATAAGTACGATAATATTAAATTAAATTCTAACTATATTTAATTGGACACAATTGACAATAGTAGATTCACTACAAATAGGTACAAATGTGTTTATTTAGGTAGCATTATCTTCGATACAAAAAATAAGTGTTCATGAAATAACAAAGACAGATATTTTGTAGGATCATAGTAGATATTGTTGTAAATTGTAAACCATGTTTCATTCATATACAATAACTTTTTGTTCAGTTTACAAGCCAAACATCCATTTTGGAGTTTGAACGTTTACTTTAATAAAATAAAATAATTATATAGATAGAATCAACCTTTAAACAACATGAGGTACAATACTACGGCCTAAATTATCTAGTCTATAAGTGTCATTTTTGCTTAAAGTACTTTTAAAACCTTGTCATGCCTTATTTACAAAATATGATATTTATTTCGTGGTTAAAATGACTAGCATTGATTTTATTGCTAGATATTTTCTAGGCTGCTCCGTTGTTCGTGTGATCGTAAGTGCGACTGCCGAGCAAGGGATCTCGAGACGATGCTCGGCTTTAGCAAAGTATTAATGTTTAATTTCGAAAAGTCAGTTACACAATGAAATCTGGAATTATTGGCTATCTGTAGTAGGTTTGCCCCTATGACTTAGATTCATAGCATAAGTAGTAAAAAGTGGTTGTTATGTATACTCGGAATTTTAATTCGATTCCAGATTTGACAATTTCAGTGTTGCAACGTTATGACAAGTACTAAATAGTGACGTTGCGAAATTATTCGATATGGAAATGCAATATTCCTGGATCGATTCATCTCGTTTATAATTTTACTTCCGTAAACTAAGTATATCAGGAAATTAAATAATTCTGAACCGATCATTTAGTTTTGACGATTAATTAACGATCTGAGACTTTTCTTTTATAATTGTGTG